AAAAAAGTCAGAATTGCGAGTTTGTATCACGCAAGAGAGAGAAAAAAAAGTCAGAATTGCGAGTATCACGCAATTATGAGAAAAAAAGTCAGAACTGTGAGATAAAAAGTCGCAATTAACTTTTTTATTTTTTATTCAGTGGCGGAAACGGGCTTCCATACATTTCAGAGTAAATAAACAAAGAAAGAAAACCATCATGTTTTGGCCAACATTACCTATTACTAGTTAAACGAAATCGCCGTAGCTTAGTACAAACACACTATACGTAACCTTCAACCTTGACTTGGCAAGTCCTCATTTATGACTTGTAGCTAAACATCACTTTAATATAACTTAAAGGCAATCAGAAGAACTTGTGCCTAAATATGAGCAGAAAAAAGAGGATCAGGATGTTCACAATAGCTGTGCATGGTGAGGAATGATGTGGCGTAGGATGAAGGCGCTGCGTTGACGGCAGAGCAAGTCAGTAAGGCCGCCCTCTGTTTACACACCTTTACACTCATTCATTACAGCATGACTCGCTACGCAAACTAATGTCAAAACATGGCACTTTAATAGATTGCTCGTAAACTCAACAGTTTAATCAAAATTGGAAATGGTTTTAATTCCACAGGGATTTTTATTAGTATGAAAAACTCACACCATATTTACTTAATCTTATTGTACATGATTGTGCATTGTATTTCAGAATACAATCAATCAAAATATAATAACGTTATTTACATCAAGCCCTCTTAGTTGTCAACCAACCACCTGACTTCATTCTGGTATGGCACCCCCACTTTTTACATTCATTACATTTTACATTCAAGTTACTTTGTTTTCCCATTTATTCACTGATTCCTCTCCTGTCCCCGTGTTGACAGAAATTGGGTAGTAAGCGCAGAGGTGCTTCCTTCAGCCTGAGGCTCATTCAGTTCACTTTTGATGTGAAAGGGCTTTTACAGTTGCCAAAAATAGAACTTTAGGGTTTTTTGTTGTTAAAGATAAATAAACAAGCCCAGCTCAGGTGACAGAAAGTAATGCAAAAGTAATGTAATACATTACGTTCCATTAAAAGTAACTAAGTAACACAATTAGTTACTTTTTTATGAAGTAACAATATTGTAATGCATTACTTTTAAAAGTAACTTTCGCCAACACTGTCAGAAATACATCAGTAAAATGGGCTCTGAATGTCATTTCATGTTGACTTCATTGTATTTGTGGTAAAGTGGTTTAAGCCAAAAAAACGACCTCACTCGTCGCACAATTTCATCAAAGTAGCTACGCTCTATAAACAATCACAGCTGATGTGCCAGAGTCCCCGAAGCATCTGGGAATTCTGTGGGCTGATCGCAACTGGGATCACAGAAAAATCATGCTGGGTGCTGGGGTTTCTTTGGCTATCTGACGTGAGAAGAAAGTTCATGGTAATATTGAAAATACTAGATTTGATTTAGCTTGTTGTCCAGTAGCCAAATAAACAACGCACTCAATGCTCTCGATGAAGGGAAATGAGAAGAATTGGAGTAAAGAATGAGACATAAATACAAACACACACATATGGTACACACATAATGAGGCTGGGGGAAAATACTTACTCTTCCTCTGCCGGAGTGTTTCTGGAGCCGGGGTGACAGAGGGAGACAGATGCGTAGAGGAGAGATCCCCTTCTTTAGAGCCAATGCACCATGACAAGAGAAGAACAGGGAAAGCCAGAAAATATCCATGCAAAGCAGACAGCCAGAGAGAGAGAGACAGATCCAGGCAGACAGGTGTTCAGTGAGACAGGTGTGGTGAAGACAGATGCAGAGGATGACAAATACAGGAAGGAAAGAAAGGAGATGAACAAACAAAAAAACCAAACACAATGAAACACAATATTGTTTTGGCAACCTGTTCACCTCTTTACTACATACAACCATGTACCTGTGGTCAAGGATGATCTATAGGTGACTCAAAGTCGTATACTTGTTCTGAAAATGTGTGACTGAAAAATAGGTAAAAACTGGACAACACTAGATAAAGTGCTAAGTTGCTTATTTGGTTGCTAGGTATTTGTTATGTGGTGGCTAAGGTGTTCTGAGTTCTTTTTGTATGTGTAGGGTATTCTAGGTGGTTGCTAGGGCATCTAGGTAGCTTCTCGGGGATTCAGGATAGTTGCTAGAGCGTTGCTAGGTGGTTGCTATGGTGTTACAATGGAATTGTTAAGTGGTTGCAAGAATGGTTGCTAGCAGGTTGCTATGTGCTTGCTTACTGGCTAGGGATGGGCGTATCGATCCTGAAGTATCGATATATCGTTATTGATGCGAGTATCGAAAGTATCGATACTCAACTAAAAAAAAATATCGATACTCAGGTGTTTTTTTTTTTTTTACCAGTGATTTTGTTTATTTAACAAAAAAATGAATGCGTACAATATGCATTGAATTGGACGAATAACAATGCTTATCAGAGGACAGAAAAAAACATATATGTTTGAGTTATTTCACAATAAACAAACTGAAATTGTAGTCATAGTTTGTGCAATTACATTTATTTAGATTGAACGTTAAAAGTTCATATTGATCATGTTCTATTCTGTAATGTTAATATAAATCATACAATGTCAGAATAAAAGGTTGCATTTTATGCATGCGACATAGTAATTTAATAAATTTCATAATTTAAAAGTTCAGTTTAGAAGTAGGGCTGGGCGATTTGGCAAAAAAAAAAATTCTCGATTTTTTCAGAACGTTTGACCGATTCTCGTTTTTTTAAGATTTTTAACTCAACTTAAAAATGTTACTACAACATGATTCAAATAGCTTTTTCTTTATTAACCCTCTAGTTAAAGAAAACCCTATTCTAAGTGCAGCACACATGAAGTTGTCAACATGATGTAAATGTTAAACAAATCACTTGTTAAATATCTTTGCAGAAAAGATGCATGAACTACAACTGCATCCTGTAAAAACTTGTCTTATAGCCAGTGTTGGGGAAGCTACTCTGAAACTGTAGCTTGACCAGCTACAAGCTACTCGTAAATTAAAGTAGTTAAGCTACATTCAAGCTACCCTTCTGAAAAAGGTAGTGAAACTACTTTCAATTTTTTTTTTCTTTTACAATTAACATTACAAATAACTAAATAATTATTAATGAAGAATTATAATGAAGTTATTAGTAAAATATAATAAAGTTATAAGTAAAATATTTGGGGTTTAAAACAACATACTGTAATGCAATCATGATTTCGAAGAGTACGGTGAATTCAGGTTGATTGGGACACTTTTCCAAGCCATTTCAATGACAAGTGTCGCAATAATTTGATTTTGTAAACTATCAGATACACACAATAATAAAATAGGCTACTGTATAGTTATATAGTTATGTTATCTTAAACTGACTGTCAAAGTGCAAAATTGCTACTAAAGTAATAACATCAATGCAAGAACAAAATGTATGCAACTTAAACTGGATACGGAGGAGTCATAAAATCAGCAGGTTAAACTCACAGCACATGCGGTATTTACTGACTGTGAATGGAGACGTCAATCATCAGCTGCATCCATCTCTACTGTTCTAGGTAAAACATTAAATTCGAATTAATCGATAAAATCGGGAAAATCGCCCAGCCCTATTTAGAAGTATCGTATCGGTATTGATATTGACGATACTGGGCTTTAAAAGTATCGAAAACAAAATAAGTGGTCTCACCCATCCCTATTACTGGCCCAAGCCATTTTTACCCTTTTTATCATCTGGCGGGTAAAAAATAATAATAAATAAAATAAAATGCTTAGAAAAGGAATTGCACACCTCTCCTCAACCAGACATACGATATAAACAAAAATTTGCATTATAAGTCACGCAATAAAATTTAATACATAGGGGTATGAGTACTACTACCGGTCAAAAGTTTGGAATAATTATGAATTTTTAATGTTATTTTTTAAATTGTTTTGATTGTTTAAAGTCTCTTATGGTCACCAAGGCTGCATTCATTTGATAAAATATACAGTAAAAACAGAAATATTTTTATTACAATTAATGTTTTTCCTATTTAAATATATTTTAAAATGTGACAGCAGTTACAGGATCTATATCTTAGCTGTCCTAAATATGATGGATGAATTAAGAAATTCACGATTTCATGATTGAGTACCTCAAATGAAACACCAATTTTTGCAACAGAAGAAGGCAATCAGGTGACCAGCTAGTGAGTTTTGGGCTTTGTGTCTGTGTATTCACTGCTCATGTTTTCTCTTTCACAGGCCACAACAGATGCAAATTGACGGTGTAATTCCACAGCCAGCGAGTCGCTATAAAGTGCTACATTTCCCTGATATAACACTGAATTGCACAACACATCACGGATATTGTCTTGTCCCGAAGACATGTCAAATTTCCCTTGGAGGAAGAACAGTTAAGTAAATGGTAGAACACTAAACCCAATTCAAAGTAACAATAGCCCATGTGCATTAATTCGTAAACAGACTTTGGAATGAGCAGGCCGCCAGATCTCATGTTAACAGACTGGAACTTCGTAAGATTTACCTTGTGGCTCTTTCTAAGTCTTCCAGCTTGTGCTTGCGGAGAGCACTCGGTGATATTGAGAGTTGGACTGAACATGGACATGTCTACTGATATCCACAACATCTGCTTTAAATAAACGGTTTAGGATTGCAGATTAAACAGCATGAATATTTTACATTGGATGTTAGATTGGTTGCACATTCACCCATGACTGAAGATCCAAGCAAATACTGATAGGTAAACCGAAGTTTGACACCAATGCACACACACCAGTCATGTTAATTTTCAGATTAATTACTTAAACACTTTAGATAAGTGTTTCTCAATGGGGGCGTTCAGAGAACATCAGGGGGCACTTAAAGCAACATTTTTGAAAGGGGGGTGCTGAGGTATTCTTGGGGGGCGTTTAGTTAAAGCCAGTTTACACCAAAGATGCATGAGCTTAAACTTGCAAAAGAAAATGGTCTGCAACGTCCTAATGCTGTCTCTACACTGGACGGTCGTGCCGTTCACGTCTGGTATAGTGTACCTGCCAGCTTACGCCAATGCTACCGGACTAGACGGTGTATTAGCCTTCTGTAGCGCAGCTGCTGAACTTCCCGTCAAAACAACAAAATAAAATTATATATGGGCTGTTATAAATACATGCTTTTTTAAAATATATATTATAAATACAATATATAAAATACACCACCATTCAAAAGGGGGTCAGTAAGATTTTTAAATGGTTTTGAAAGAAATCTCTTCTGCTCAGCAAGGTTGCATTTATTTGATCAAACATACAGTAAAAACAGTAAATCTACCATTTCTATTTTAATATATTAAAAAATTTATTTTTCCTGTCATGCTAAAGCTCCATTACTCCAGCTTTCAGTGTCACACGACCCTTCAGAAAGCTCAAGAAACATTTCTTCTGATTATTATAGGTGTTATATAGCTGAACATGGTTATGCTGCTTAATAATTGTGTTGAGGTGTTTAAATATTTAAATGAACAGAAAGATTGTAATATATATATATATATATATTAAATTTCTGCACATTTTGCATTTTTATTGCACATGTACAATGCAAGACAGGGAACATATCAACATAGTAAGGAACACCACCCTGACATGCAAAAAAAAAATAATTCAATAGACTCACGACTAAGACAAAGATATGAATCAGGACAGCACTAAAATAGTAACTATTTTGCATACGTTTCCCAACTTTATACTTAGTTTTCTTTTAAGCATTCTCGCAAAATCTAAGAAATATAGTAAAGGAGGGTTTACTTTTCTTCCATTTACTTGTGTAAATGTGACATTTACCAACTAAAATTACCATTTTCATTCAGAAAAAACGGAATTCAATATATTCTTTAAAACAATGTAATTTTCTAAAACTATAAATCTTTCCATTGATGTATGGTTTGTTAGGATAGGACAATATTTGGCTGAGATACAACTATTTAAATATCGGGAATCTGAGGGTGCCAAAAAACAATCTAAATATTGAGAAAATCATCTTTAAAGTTGTCCAAATTAAGTTCTTAACAATGCATATTACTAATCAAAAATTAAGCTTTAATATATTTACTGTAGGAAATTTACAAAATATCTCCATTGAACATGATCTTTACTTAATATCCTAATGATTTTTGGCATAAAAGAAAAATCAATAATTTTGACCCATACGATGTATTTTTGGCTATTGCTACAAATATACCCCAGTGACTTAAGACTGGTTTTGTGCTCCAGGGTTACAAATATTATTATTTTCACTGAAAGCTAATTGAAAACATCCACCCAAAATTTAGAGTTAAAATCAGCAGAAAAAAGGGTGTTCAAGAGCTAGAAAATCTCTACTGCATAAATCCCCCCTTATATATATATATATATATATATACTCTAAACAGGAATTTTTAAAGTCTCTTTAACCTTTGGAACAACAGTCTATGTCAGATAAAGAATGAAAGAAACCTCAACAACGCCAAATATGCAGCACTGAAAATCACCAACATGCTTAAAAACTCTGTAAATTAATGTTCTTACACTTACTGTCAAATAATTTACGAGAAAAAGGCACTTTACTGTCTTTTTTGATCAATTAATGGATCCTTGAATTAAATAAGTATTAATTTCTAAAAATCGTAATGACCCCGAACATTTGAACGGTACTGTAAATATAATAATAGTCCTCATTATAAAGACAAAATGTTTGCATTGAAATATTATTTTTTTCCTGTTTAACACTGTAAAGCTGCTTTGACACAATCTATTTTTTAAAGTGCTATATTAATAAAGGTGACTTGACTTGATAAAAATAATAATCAACTTTAATATTCAGTGAAGATGATTAGACTACATTTTGTTTGATGGGGGGCGGAAAGGGACCTGAACAATGGGTAGCTCAAAAAAGGTTAAGAAACGCTGCTTTAGATAAAGGAATATTATCTGTTAAATACAACTTACAGTCTGTACTGTAACAGCATCTGAGACATACTGTCATTTTACCATTTCATTGCATTCATGGCTTTAAATGATTACTATTACTTTTATCCTGAAATTTAGCTTGTATTTAGTATTTAGCTTGAAATATTTCTTTAAGAGAACAAGTGCATCCTGAATTTTGCATGCTTTGCACAACTAGATTCCTTTAGGAAGTTTTAACTGTACTTTTTAAGGCCATCCTGGTAGTCTTGTTCCTCAGTTTTAAATCTTGGCCTAACAGATCCTCAGGTGCTCATGAAGTTTGTTGGCACTTTTGGGGGCTTTTGAAAGCTTTGCATGCATGAAAATTGTACAGTGGTCAACTGACTTTTAAATAGCAGGTTGCTAAACATCTACTGGCTTTTATAAAAAAAGGCGAAAGTATTATGTACACTACTGGTCAAGTGTCTTTGCTCACCTGTAGGCTGCATTTATTTGATTGAAAATACAGTTAAAACAGTGATATTGTGAAATATTGTTACCATTTAAAAAAACAGTTTTCTATTTTAAAATATTTAAAAAAAATTATTCCTGTGATGCAAAGCAGAATTTTCAGCATCATTACTCCAGTCTTCAGTGTCACATGATCTTCAGAAATCATTCTAATATGCTGATTAGCTACTCAAGAAACATTTCTGATTATTATCAATGTTGAAAATAGTTTTGCCGCTTAATATTTTTGTTGAAACTGTGATACACTTACTTTGAGATGAATGTTCTTTTCAACTTTCTATTCATCAAAGTGATTTGAAAAAAAGAAAAAAAAGTATCACAAAAACATTAGGCAGCAAAAACTGTTTTCAACACCGATAATAAGAACCACGATATTGTGAAATATTGTTACCATTTAAAAAAACAGTTTTCTATTTTAAAATATTTAAAAGAAATTATTATTATATATAATGTATCACAAAAACATTAGGCAGCAAAAACTGTTTTCAACACCGATAATAAGAACCATCCACCCTTTGTTGCGCTTTCACATTTGCAGTATTTTGTTACTTGCTGTGAAATATACAATGAAAATGAAACATTAATATATGACCTCTTTAAATGCTTTATTCCACCGTTTATTTCCTAGAGAGAGCAAAAGAGGTGTTCTGGATGAGATGTGTCTGTACTCACTGCTGGAGGAAGAAGACATGCGGCGCTGGGCAGGGGCCGGTGTGGAGGTGCTGGGTGGAGGAGGAGGAGGGG